ATCATATAGTACCTTGTTCATTCTCACTACTTCCCCTCTGTCTCCTGCTTTTCTCCCTTTCTGGTCTGCTTCCTTCAATGAATCCCCTTTCTTCCTTAATGCCACATGTGTTTATAAATCCTGTAGTGTATATGAGAGAAATGTAAGCAATTGAGATAAATGTTATCGTGACAGTTTTTACTACAGGTGCTGCTTTTTACTATAGTAATGATTTTGGAGAGTTTATGTGGACAGGAGAGAGGTTATGTATAATTGAAGTGCAAGCTAATGAGTAAAAGGATTTACTTGGGTTGGGGTTGGTAGAGAAGGCCTGAGAAACACTTCAGTAGCACAGTGAAGAAAATATGGCTAGTTGTAACAGCATTTTATGGAAATAAGTAGAAGATAAACAAATGCCAGAAGGTAGTTGTTTATAAAACTGCAGTGCTTTCTTGCATAGCGTTATTAAACATTTTGAACCTTGGAGTGGGTGATATGACATAAATGGTTAATAATGGAATAGCTTGAATGAAAAGAACAAAGGCCGGAAGAGGGATTACAGCAATTACGTTAAAGATTTTGAAGAAAAAAGATTGTACTTTGGATGAGAAAATCATGGCCTGAAACATTTGGTAGCCTGAGGAAGAGAGTTCACTAGGTGTACTCAAATCCTTCTATAACTAATGTAAGTAACATGGTGTGACTGTCAAATAAGCTAGACTATGTATAGCAGAGGTGTATGTGTCTATGGGTGGATTAATTAGTCTCCTCAATCTCAGTCTGTATTTACCAATATTATATTGTAGATGACACTTTGAAGTGATACTTGAGAGTGCTGGCTTCTTGGAGGTAGGTAGTTTTGCTTGCCATTATTGGAATAGAATGATTAGTCAAACATAAAGAACTGAGCATTATGTGTAGGTATATTAAGAGTTGTCTTTCGTGTAAGGAAACAGATTTTGTTGCAGATTTTTTTTTTTGTCTCAGTATATAGAAAACTTTCTAATTAAATGTTTTAAAATAAAACAGCCTTATAATATGTAGTGGCTTTGAGGTGAGTTATGACTATTTCTGGATAACAATTCAAATCTGAGATTGCTAAATTTGCTTGTGTGTTTTCTCTTGTGTGTGAGAGTACATGCAGGTGGTTATCAGAGTTTTGTCTTATGTATATGAGTGTGTACAGGGTTCAGTAGAGAGAGAGCTAGAGAGTGTATGGGTGTACATGTGCCACAGTGATTGCAGAGGGGTCAGCACATCAAGTGTTGGTTATTTCTACCTTGTTTGGTCAGAACACAACCTCAGGTGTTGATCAGTCCTCTTCTACCTTGTTTGAGACCAGGGTATCTTTGTTCTTTGCTGGTATGTATGCCAGGCATACTGGTCAGTAATTTGCAGGGATTCCTATCTCTGTATGAGGTGCTCGTATTATGATGCTACTGTGTTGATTTTACATGGGTTCTGAGTATGGAGTCTCTGGGCCTTATTCTTGGATGACTAGCACTTTATCCCCTGAGCCATCTCTCTACACTCTGATTAGTGGTCAGAATTATCTTTATTTTGTTCTTGGTCACCTCACTGACATTGGTTTTTAAAAACCTTTTTGAGAATCCATTTTGTTAAATATGAAGGACCTCACATTTTATTCAATTTCATAACCATCATGCTGTACTGAAAAACCCTAACTACCTGAGTGACAGTGTCTCAAAAATTAGGGCCTATCATTAAATGAGAACTTTTCATAAAAATCAGGATGATTCTACTCTTGACTCAGGGTTGTTCAGCAGGAAATGAGGTAGGTATTAAACAAAAATTCTCATCTCCTCCCTTCTGTCCTTTGTAGTCTGTCCACACTGATCTCTTGCCTCAGCCTTCCAAGGGCTAGGATTTCAGGTGGGCATCACTGCACTCAGCTTTTTGTTTAGTCATATATGGGTGAAAAGGTTACAGTTTTATTTAATAAATTTGTCATTCTTCATACCTTTTATTTTTACCCTGTGTTGATCCAGGCATATATATGATGGTGGTTTAGAAGCAAGGACATAGTTTTTCTGTAGATAATGGTAGAAATATTCACTACTTAGTAGCAGTGGTGGGACAGGCCTTTAATCCCAGTACTTGGGAAGGCAGAGGCAGGCGGGTCTCTGATTTTGAGGCCAGCCTGTTCTACAGAGGTAGTTCCAGTATAGCCAGAGCTGTTAAACAGAAGCCCTGTCTTAAATCCAAAAAACAAAACAAAACAAACTGCAGTGTTGGTGACTGAAGAAGTGTTTGCTACTTTACAGATAGGCAGCTTCAAGATTTTTTCTTTTGGAGACAGTGCATCTCTCCATAGCCTTGGCCATCCTGGAACTCATCAAGTAGAGTAGACTAGGGTAACCTACACTCACAGAGATCTACTTGCTCTGCCTCTGGAGTGCCACCATTCCCAGCCCTTAGAATTTCTAATTACTGTTGCCTTGATGGAATTTCTATTTTGTTTCTCCTAGTTTTCTTCTAAGGATTTTGGTTGTTTTCAGTAATAATTTGTTTTGGTATAACTTTTTTCAAGAATTTTTTTAAGTTAGTCCTTTTTTAAAATCTTTGTTTGCTTTGCTTTTGATACATGGTGTCACTGTGTAGCTCTGGCTGGTCTGGAGCTCACTGTGTAGACCCTGCATGCTTCAAAACTCAGTAGAGTTCACCTGACTTCTGGAGTGGTGGAGGTAAAGGCATGTCATCACACTTGGCCTAAATTAGCATTTTGAGTAAATATCTTTAGCCATTTGGAGAGAGACAATAGAAACGAGAATATGAATCAAAAGCTTCTGTTAAACATTTTGTATTTTTCCATTTATTCCTGATACTTAGTTTAAATCAGTACTTAAGAGTTACAGACTAGATGAACAAATTGAAAGCAGTTGTTAATATTAACTAAGGCTGACTATTTAACGCTAGACTATGTGACTAGTAGGAGGTTTCATCCAAAAATACAAAATAAGACATTTTTGGTTTTTCAAGACAGGGTTTCTCTGTGGCTTTGGGGGCTGTCCTGGAACTATCTCTTGTAGACCAGGCTGGTCTCCAGCTCACAGAGATCCGCCTGCCTCTGCCTCCCAAGTGCTGTTGGGATTAAAGTAGGCTTGCACCACTACTTCCTGGCTTGGAAAATAAGACATTGTAGTCTACTAGTCATAGCCTCTTGCAATAATAGTTTCATCATTCATTTAGAAAACAATTTTTTTTTTATTTTTTATTTTTTAAGTTTATAGCAGGCTTTTACACAGAGTTCTAGGATAGCCAGAGCTATACAGAAAACCCCTCTATTGGAAAGAGGATTTTAGTCTAAATAATAAGCTGTAAATAAGAATGTAAATGCTATATGAGGAAATAAAGTGTATGCCAAGATTTGTCAGCTTCAAAATTTAAAATTACAACACTGTATGTGGGTGTGTATGGGTGTTTCTGCCTACTATGTATGTGAACCATGTGTGTCTGCCATGTATGTTAACTGGCACCTTTGAAGTTCTGAAGAACTAGAGTTACAAATGGCTATGAGCCATTGTGTGGTTGTTGGGAATCTAATCTATGCTCTCTGAAGAGTAACAAGTATAATTAACTGCTCAGACATCTTTCCAGCTTTGAGAAAAAATTGGCAAAAATTGCAACTTTGAAAGTCCTGTGTTTGGTATGAATATGAGAATTAAATGTAAACCTCTAATTGGCTTGATCAAAAATAAAGGCATGAAATTTCTAAACTGTAGATAAAGTGTGTGAACCTGGAGATGAACAAGGTGATGAGGAGTGAACTCCTTGAATTATTGCTGTCCTGTTACACTAGATATCTCCTGTATTGCAAGACTAGACCTCATGTTGGTTTTTTTTTTTTTTTAAATATTTATCATGTGTACAGTGTTTTGCCTACATGTCTGTTTACAGGCACCAGATCTCATTGTAGATGATTGTGAGCCAGCATGTGGTTGCTGGGAATTGAACTCAGGTGGTCTGGAAGAGCAACCAGAACTCTTAACCTCTGAGCCATCTCTCCAGCCCCGCTCATGTTAGTTCTTTATATATGCCATTTGTGAACAAAGTAGATCTTGAGGTCGAGTGTGTGTGTGATTGGTTAATAAAGGTTTATTTCATGCTGGGTGGTCTTGGTGCACATCTTTAATCCCAGCATTTTGGGAGGTAGAGGCAGACAGATTTCTGTGAGTTCAAGGCCATCCTGTTCTATAGAGTGGGTTCCAGGACATTCAAGGCTACACAGAAAAAAAAAAAAAAAAAAAAACATTAGTCCTGCCTTATCATTGTTATTAACATAAGAATTTGAGATTTTTTTAAATGAAAAGATTTATGAACTACAATTCATAAAATCCATTGTTCCCAGACAAGTTGGAAACTTAAGACATCAGTTTGGCCCAGTGTATGCCTTAATCCTAGCACTCAGGAGGTAGAGATAGGTGGATCTTGAGCGTGAAGCTAAACTGGTCTACAGAATGAACTTTAGAATAGCCAGGCATAAACAGAAAGACCCTGTCTCAAACCAAATAGGAAAAAAAACCACTTTGTAAATAGTAAAATTAATATAATGTCACTTGATAAGGTTGTATTTTGAAGTGTTCTTCCATACATCACTATTCTATAGTATATGGTTACTTGAATATCACATTTACTTTTTATTTTAGCTTTATAGTTGGCAGTCTACCTTTTTTTTTTTTTTAAAGATTGATTTATTATGTGTATAGCATTCTGCATCTATGCATGCCTACATACCGGAAGAGGGCACGAGATTTCATTATAGATGGCTGTGAGCCTCAATGTGGTTGCTGGGAATTGAACTCAGTACCTCTGGAAGAGCAGCCATTTCTCCAGCCCCAAAAGGAAGCTTTTTTAAAAAACTGAGAATACTTGATACAAAGTATTAAAAAAGTTTTTTTCTAAATAGTTTTATCTTTGCATATGATTGAGAATCTTCTATAATGAGTACATCACAAAATAATTTTAAAATGAGGTATATATAATCTTTTTTCCTCTTTCAGTATAATAATCATGAAATTCGTTCCGGAAAGCACATTGGTGTCTGCATCTCAGTTGCCAACAATAGGCTTTTTGTGGGCTCTATTCCTAAGAGTAAAACCAAGGAACAGATTCTTGAAGAATTTAGTAAAGTGACAGGTAAGTTGGACTTAATTGGCTGGAGGTACAACTTAATCAGTAATGGAGAGAATAACTTTTTTGTCAAGTGTTCTAAACATTGAAAATCCAATTTGTTAGCTAAGAATCTCTACCTCAGCTTTATGAGGCAGGTAACCTTATTATTACTAAGCCAGACAGTGGTGGTACACGCCTTTAATCCCAGCACTTGTGTGTGGGGGGGCAGAGGTAGGCGCATCTCTGTGAGATGGATGCCAGCCTGGTCTACAGTGTAAGTTCAAGGACAGTCTCCAAAGGTACACATAGAAACCCTGTCTCAAAATAAAAAGATAAACAGGACAGATGGTGATGGTGCACACCTTTAATCCCAGCACTCAGGAAGCAGGACAGGCAGATCTCTTGAGTTCTATGACAGCCAGGGATACAAAGAAAAACCCTGTGTGTAAGGTGGCTGGATAAGTAAACATTTGAATTGGAGAGATGGCAGTTAAGATCATTGGCAGCCTCAGAGGACCGGAGTTAGATTAGTAGCACTCACTTGATAGTTCTCAACCATCAGTTTTAGTTGACTTGACACACTTTGCTGGCCTCTGGGCACTAGGGCACAGACATACACAAGCAAATAAATTCATACACAAACAAATTTAAAGAAAAAAAGCAGGTGTATGGAGAGGTTTCGAGGGTTATTTCCTGGCAGTTAAGTTAATTTAGGAATGAATATATAGGGCTTGGGATAGGGGATAGAGTTTTTAGCTATCATTTACAAAGCCTTAAAACCTGATGTTAGTACATACACACCTGTCATTGCAGTGCTTGGCAATGATAAGCCATCTTAGCTTTATAGTTGGCGGTCTACCTTTTTGGCGGAGGGAGGAATTTCAGCAAGTGTATTTGAGGCCATTCTTTGCTCCATGAGACCTTGTCTTAAAAAGACAATAAGACAAAACTAAACATGGAAATACATCTGCAATTTGAAATCAGTCTGTGAAATTATTGCACATCCCTTCCTTGCTTTGTATTTATTTCCCATCTCTTCCTTGTTTTGTGTTTATTTCCACACTTTAGCTGTTATTTGCCTGCATGTATGTCTGTGAAGTTGTAAGACTCCTGGAACTGGAGTTACAGGCAGTTGCGAGGTGCTTTGTGGGTGCTCTGAATTGAACACCTGGCCTTTGGAAGAACAGCCAGTGCTTTTAACCACTGAGCCATCTCTCCAGCCCCCTAGTGGTTTTTAATTCTTAGATATGAATGAAGCCTTTTCACCTGTGTTAAAGGAACAAGTGTTAAAAGCAGAGACATATTGTTAACATGGTACTTTTGTTTTTTTTAACATTAATCTACCTACAGTGTTGAGAAAATTATCTTTCTGTTAACAGTCTGTAGAAACATAGAAAAGTGTTCTGCATTAACAGTATTTACTATTTTCCTTTGAAGAATGCCATTGTTATTTGAGAACAGAAAAAGATGCCATTTAAACCAATTTCAGAGATGGTAAAATATGAATAAAAAAAAAGCAAAAGGGTGGTGGATGTAGCTCAACCTAGGTAAGATTTTTACTTAGGCTGAAGACCAGGGGTCTTCACGTGACCATTCCCTCCCAAATAGAATTTTAATGCAATGAATTAATTTAATCATGTTTGACAAAGAGATAGCATTTTTTTAGATGAGCAGACGAATTTTATTTGTCTTATACCTTAGTGGAATCAAAATGGTTCCCATGGCTAGTTAAGTAGTTTGCTTTTGTTGGGTTTTCTGGGCTAGAAAGCTAGGGTAGGGTTGGGTTGATTTGGAAAATTAATAATTTTTTTTTGTGGGGGAGAGTATGTCTCTTGCTTTTGTTTTTTGTTTTTATAGAGACAGGATTTCTTTGTACCAGCCCTGGCTGTCCTGAACACACTCTGTAGAGCAGGCTGGCTTTGAACTCACAGAGATCTGCCTGCCTCTCTGCTGGGATTAAAGGCATGTACCACCACCACCTGGCTTTTGCTTCTTTAAAAGATAATTGCTGTTAGTAAAAGTTTGTATTTTTCATGTTTTATTTAAAGAGTAGCTTATTAAACACAAATTAATTGCTAGTTAACCTACTTTTCTGGGATGTTTGTTTAATTTCAGAGGGTCTCACAGATGTCATTTTATATCACCAACCGGATGACAAGAAAAAAAATAGAGGCTTTTGCTTTCTTGAATATGAAGATCACAAAACAGCTGCACAGGCAAGGCGTAGGTTAATGAGTGGTAAAGTCAAAGTCTGGGGAAATGTTGGAACTGTTGAATGGGCTGATCCCATAGAAGATCCTGATCCTGAAGTTATGGCAAAGGTAATTACAGTAAAGTAAAACAATTTTTATTGGGTTAATAAGAGGAGCATAAGAAAAAACTTAGTAAATGAATTGTTTGCATTGTTTTAAATGTTTTTGAAGGTAAAAAGTTTACTAAGCAATTAGTTATACACTAAAAAATGTGAGTGCACGGAAGGTATTCTAGAGCACTTTCTTTTGAATATTTGAGGGTGATGTAATTAATTTTATTTTATTTTTTTATGAGTCATACCCTGTAACAAAACAAAGGAAAAAAATCAAATAAATGAATTATTATTATTTTTTTTTTTTTCAGCAAACAGTTGAGGGTTAACTCTTGAGGTAACTCTTGAGTGCAGTTTGGATATTCTGTCTTGTCTTTTAGGAATCCCTTTAATAGTTAAAAGGTCATGTTTGCTTAAATCTATAGAAGGCAGTTTTAACTATTGGGAGTGCTGACTACTATTGAACAATTATATTTTGAGAAATTTTCAGGAGGAGGGAGTTAGATGTTCCTGGAAATTGAACCCAGGATCTCATGTGTGATGTGTCAGCAAGCTTTTTTATTTTTTAATTTTATTATGTATACAGTGTTCTGTCTGCATGTATGCCTGCAGGTCAGAAGAGAGCACCATTATTGATGGTTGTGAGGCACCATGTGATTTCTGGGAATTGAACTCAGGATCTTTGGAAGAGCAGGCAGTGCTTTTAACTGTTGAGCCATCTGTCCAGCACAACTCCCAGGATGTTACTAGTATTTTAAAGCACTTTATCCAACATTTCAAAAGCAGTCTTAGGTTTCGATAATCACCATTATAGTATCCCAGAAATTATATTACTGTGCTTTGATTATCTCTATCCCTCAAATCTTGACAGCCCTTCTTCCCTTTTACCATTTCAGAATGTCACATGATTGGTATCATGCCTATATAGATTTCTGAGAGTCCGTGGCAACATTTTAAATGTCCTCTTTTTGTGAATTTTATGTCCTGGCTATCCTGGAAGTCCTTTAGATTCCCCTGCCCCTGCATCCCAGATTCCCCTGCCCCTGCCCCTGCCCCTGCCTCCTGAGTAGTTGGAATGCTGGGATTGAAGGCATGCAACACCACTCCCTGACTTATAGCTAAAAATTCTGCTTTGTTTGTACATTCATATATTGAAGGGATATCTTTTTACTGTTTGGGGGGAGTTATGAATAAAGCTGTTAGAAGCATCTGGATGCAAGTTTTTGTAGGAACATAAAACTTAACAACTCTTCAGTAAATATAAATAGGGAGTAATAACACAAGATTATAAGATAAGAATATGGTTAGTTTTATAAGGAACCGCCTTAAACACAGGGGCTGCATCAGTTTACACCCCAGTTTTTGTGAATGAAAGTTTATTTCTTCCTAATCCTCAGGTTTGAAGCTTTAAAGTGTTGTAATCCCAACATGTTTCTAGGTTGTTTTTGTTTGTTTTCAATACAGAGTTTCTCTGTGTAATAATAGCTCTGGCTGTCCTGGAACTAAGAGATCCTCCTCCCTCTGTCTCCTGTGTTCTGGGGTTTAAGTAAGGTGTGTAGTGTACTTCAGCTTTAGCTTGCTTATCTGTTAATAATTGAACACATTTTTCGTGGTAGAACTTGGTTTGGTAATACCTTTATTATTGTTTCGGTTTTTACTTTTATCAGCAATTTCACTCTTTGGCATTTACCCACAGGAAATTAAAACTATATATACTTACTGGTTGTGTTTCAAGTTAACTTTGTAGGATGGGGTGGTTGCTTTTGGAAATTGAATTCTGGAAAATTTGCTTTTTTATTTCAGGTAAAAGTGCTGTTTGTACGCAACCTTGCCAATACTGTAACAGAAGAAATTTTAGAAAAGTCATTTAGTCAGTTTGGGAAACTGGAACGAGTGAAGAAACTAAAAGATTATGCTTTCATTCATTTTGATGAGCGAGATGGTGCAGTCAAGGTAAAAAAGTGGTAGAAATTTCATAGGCATCTAAAGAGACCAATATTTTATAGTCTTAAAATCCCATGCTTAATAAATTTGATGCAAAGTTCAAGTTATGAAATTTAGTCAAGCAAACCATTTAAGTAAAAATAGCATCGAGGAAGATCTTTAATTATATTGCAACCATGTTTTATCTAATTTTGACAGAGGTTTCTAGAGTTAATGTTAAATATTTTTCAAGTTTTAAACTAAAATTATTTTGAAAGCAGTTTTATGTTGACCATTGTCTTGCTTTTTAAAGGCTATGGAAGAAATGAATGGTAAAGACTTGGAGGGAGAAAATATTGAAATTGTTTTTGCTAAGCCCCCGGATCAGAAGAGGAAAGAAAGAAAAGCTCAGAGGCAAGCAGCAAAGAATCAAATGTGAGTAAAATTTGTATACTTTAAAGAAAATTATATGTATATAACTGTGGTAGAATTTGTTTTACTGAAACATGAAATCTGTGAACTACCTACCTTAAAAACAACTTGAATTTATAAGTGGGTAATACAGAAATGGCAAGTATCTAAATGTTTACTAAGGTCTTGCTGTTCATATTTTCATGGTAATTCTGTAATAAAAGTAATGAGGTTTTCATATTTTAGAAGACAATTTAGTTATTAAAGTAATGATAGTATCAAATTATTCTAGATTGGGATTAGAGAAGTTGTATTTGTGGTTTGATGAAAGCAATAACATGTATTTGAAAATCCTCTGCATCTCAGTCTTTTACTTAGTTTAAGATGAGGAAACTCTGGAGGCACAGATGTTTGTTACACAGTAAGTAGAGTAGAGATGGCATTGAAATGAGGCAGTGTTTAGGGCTCCATAATTTCTGTGCTTAATTACTTTCACTGTGACTTCTTTGTCTTTTACTGACAGTTTTTATTTTTCATTGGAGGACATTTAACAACATCCCCAGCATTTCTAGATAGCAGTACTATCCACTTACGTCAACCAACTGTTCCCAGTTGTAGTGATTAGAACGGAAACATTATGGTGAGAATTTTTTTAAGTCAGAAAAAGACAATTTACTAATCATTGTGCTATAATAAAAATCATAGTTCATCAAGCCAGGCAGTGTTGGCACACACATTACTCCCAGCCTATGGGAGGCCGAGGCAGGCAGATCTCTTGTTCTTCGAAACAGGGTTTCTTTGTAGCTTTGGAGCCTATCCTGGCACTTGCTCTGGAGACCAGGCTGGCCTCGAACTCACAGAGATCCGTCTGCCTCTGCCTCCCAAGTGCTGGGATTAAAGGCGTGCGCCACCAATGCCCGGCAGATCTCTGAGTTCTAAATTGGGATAGAGAAGTTGTATTTTGATTTGATAAAAGCAATAATATACATTATGCTTTCATTCATTTTGATGGGCTAAATGCTGCTGTCAAGTGGTAGAAATTTCATAGGCATCTAAATTAGAGCAACATTCTCCGTTATCCTTTCTCTTGCCTTGCTATTGGTCATTCGGATCTTTATTATTAGACCAATCAGGTGTTGTAGACAGGCACAATTAACACAGCTTCATAGAGTTAAACGCAACCAACGTATCTTTGCATTATTAAATACTCTACAGCATAAACAAATTAACACATTTTTAATATTCTACAAAAAAACCTTTTGTATTAGAATAGTGTTTTTTTAATCTCTCCATTGTTGGATTAGGGGAGAGCTGTGCCTTTATGAATTGAGTGTACAAAGGGAAATTATTTCTGGAGTTTAACCAAATATGTAAGTTGTTAGCTGCCAAGTTTGGCAACCAAGTTCTGACCTAGGAATTCCATCCACATGGTGAAATGAGAATTAGAAACATATCTCAAAAGTTATTCTTTGACTTCTACCATGGCGTAGTCAGACCTCTTATCCCGAAATAAATAAGTAAATAAATGAACAAAGTAAATTATTTTACAGGTAAAAATTGCTTTATGTTTTTTGGAATTATTGTAGAGCTCAGGTCAGTAATATGCTTCTTAACGTTTTAAGTAATAATACTACTAAGTGAGAAATACTCTAGTGTTAGAATAAATCAGACCACTGAAGAGTTTTAACATTTTTTTTAAAAGGGATTTACTTCTTGTTTATGATATATCTGAGTGTATGTAAATTGTATGCAAACAAGGCCCAGTGAATGACAGAAAATAGGGTGTTGGATCCCCTTAAACCAGCGTTAGAAGCTGTTCTAAGTTACCTTGTCTGTGCTGAGAATCCAGCCAGTTCTTCTGCAAGAGCAGCAAATTCCCTTAACCCGACCTATCTCTCCAGTCCCCACGCCTTTGAAGCTAAAATTTTATGCTTTCATTGTTCAGAGGCATTTTTTTTTCCCTAATGAAATATCTGTTTGGGTAAAATAGTAAGCAATACTACTGATTTTGGTTTACCAGCCAAACTTAACTTAGAAGGGCATCATATGTAGTATCTTTACTCTTAGTAGTAAGAAGCTGAGTATTTTTTTTTAATTTTTTTTTTTTTAAATTAGAAAAAAAAGCCTGCTTCACATGTCATTCCCTGCTCTCTCTCCCTCTTTTATTCTCCCCCACCCCATACCCTTCCTTCCAGGGAGGGTGAGGCCCTCCATGGGGTATCCCCAAAGTCTGTCATATCCTCTGGGGCAGGGCCTAGGGCCTCAAAGATGAGTATTTGTGTTTATGTGTGGTGAAAAATGTCAGAATGATGATGTGGCTTCTTCTATTGTTTTCTTTTTAAGGGTGCATTTCTGTTACAGATTGTTGCTCTCTTGTTTGTAACATTACTTTTATTCTACAGTGCCATGATGTTACTTGTTAGGGTTAAAGGAGCAAACTTGCTCTTCCAGCGTTCCTGAGTTCAATTCCCAGCAACCACATGATGGCTTACAACCATCTGCAATGAGATCAGCTACCTTCTGCTGGTGTGCAGGAAGAATACTGTATACTCAATAAATAAGCCATTTATTTATTTATTTATTTATATTTGTCTTTAGGCCATTTTGCTAAAAAAAAAAGTTCGTCATTTGCTTGTCCTTTATTTGGCATTTCTATTTTATATCATGTGGTCTGTGGTAAAGGAGTTGTAATTCAGAGTGACAAATTTTAAAGCCTAAGAAGTTTGTAAAAAATCTGTTATAGGAATTGTGAAATCATGAAGGATAAATAGAGATTTCTGAATTATTGGGATGTCTGCTTTTATCCTGGTCCTGCTTATTCCTGCTAAGAACTTAACATAGTGCTAATAATTCCATTTTAAAGACTTGAGTTGCTACAAATAAATGCCTACATGCTAGATCACCAATTTGATTTCTACTCTAATCACCGTCTTTTTTCTTTTTACTAGGTATGATGATTACTACTATTATGGTCCACCTCATATGCCTCCCCCAACAAGAGGTCGAGGGCGTGGAGGTAGAGGTGGCTATGGATATCCTCCAGATTATTATGGATATGAAGATTATTATGATTATTATGGTTATGATTACCATAACTATCGTGGTGGATATGAAGATCCATACTATGGTTATGAAGATTTTCAAGTTGGAGCTAGAGGAAGGGGTGGTAGAGGAGCAAGGGGTGCTGCTCCATCAAGAGGTCGTGGGGCTGCTCCTCCCCGTGGTAGAGCCGGTTATTCACAGAGAGGAGGCCCTGGATCAGCAAGAGGCGTTCGTGGTGCGAGAGGAGGCGCCCAACAACAAAGAGGCCGCGGGGTACGTGGTGCAAGGGGTGGCCGCGGTGGAAATGTAGGAGGAAAGCGCAAAGCTGATGGGTACAACCAGCCAGATTCCAAGCGGCGCCAGACCAATAATCAGAACTGGGGCTCCCAACCCATTGCTCAGCAACCGCTCCAAGGTGGTGATCATTCTGGTAACTATGGTTACAAAACTGAAAACCAGGAGTTTTATCAGGATACTTTTGGGCAACAGTGGAAGTAGAAACAATAGGGAATCTGTAAAATTGGAGACTGATAGATTGGCCAGAAACTGGCCCTAAATCTAAACAGGTGCAGTTATAATTTGAGACATCTGGCAAGATTTTCCCTTTATGTATATATTTTAACAATCCAATCCGCTTGGACATGAACAAAGCCACACTTATGTTTCTGGCGAACTGATTTTATTTTTACTTTTATTTTTTTCCAATAATGGTATTCTTAGTTAAGAGAAAAATGAGTTGGCATTCCTGATTGAGAATTTGGCTCATTTGGCTGTAGTACATACAATGTTTCTGGGTAGTGTTTAGATTTGGTGTCTTGAAAGGTAGTTGATTAAAAACCAAGTATGTCTTTAATATCTTGTATCAGAACAACTATTTGTATGTTACCAACTTAAATTGCTAGAATAAGGTAAATTGGTACACAACTGCTATTTTTAATTTAGAACTTTGACCTAATTGGGTTTTCAAAACCATTTGGCTACTTGTATTCTTTATGCTGTTGTTAATTTCAATAAAAAATTCACACCTAAATGTATACTTACTAAAACTGTGTTTACAATTCGTTTTTCACAAAATTTCCTGCAAATTTGGTTGAAATTCTCTAGCATGTCAAGGCCAATTAAAGGGTTTGGGCCTTGTTAGTCCTTGTGTGGAATATGTCTGCACATTACACAACACTGACTTGTTGCAGTTTTCTGCTTCTGGGTTAAAGTGCTATTATACAACAGACTTCTTGTTCTCAACCAAAATTTATAATTAGTATGTGTAGTAAGTTTAAGTTGGTAAGTATTTTTATAACTCTTAACTTCATGATAAAGTATTACAAGGACAATTACAGGTAGTTTCAAACAGTTGTAGGATACACTTAACACTAGTTGTTTCAAGTTTTTTCTAACTTAATCTAAAAATCAATTGAGTATTGCCCTTTTGATTATTTTGTGCAGCATGACTCAGCAAAGAAACAACTAATGTGATATTGGGAATAATGTGAGTGCTTAATTTATGAGATGCATTTTCTTTTAAGTCATTGTGCTTCCCTCTTAATTAAAAGGAAAATAACTTTTAATTAGTAAATACTGAAAGCTTAAATTTACTTCACAAAGATCTCATAGCATGGCTTGTTGCCATTTGTATTTGAGATTGGTTATATGGTCTATAACAGTAGTGATGGGAAAATTAAGTTTTTTTGGTTTTTTTGTTTGTTTTTTTCAGAGGTGGGGATAGGTGTGAGGTAAAAAGTGAACCTGCAACTCTCCCTAAATTTAGAAATTTATATTTTGACAAGCTACGTGAGATAGATACTAAAAAAAAAAAGTAAAACATTGAATTCTAAATTACTAGATAAAAAATCTAAGATGTTTGCTTGTAGATATTTTATGATTACTTCATGTCTTAAAAATGGGAATTGTTATAAATTTATAGGGGCAAGTCCCTTAAGCTATAACTTGATAGGTTTTTCTTTAGTTATGTAGAATAGTTTTAAATAAAATCAGTTTGTAAAAAAAAGTGGGCTTCTCATACCTTAGTCAGATTACACCCCCACATCACCAAAAATCAAACCCAAGATTGAACTGAAAGCAAGTGAGAACCAAGCAAAAATTTCATTATTCTAAAGGCAACTTGTTGGATAGATTTTATGTAAGACTTAGGGTATTAAAGCTTTCTTATTTTTTAATGTTATCATTATTATGTACACATAATTAATTTAAAATGATTTATCTAACTGATTCCTTTTGTTACCTGGCTAGCAGGGAAAAGGGGTCGAGGCCGGTCCTGACCTGTTACAATGAAGACTGACTTTCTAAGTGGGATTACACCAGAAGCTTGCAGTGGAGTAATGGTAAGGAAAATCAAGCAACCTTAAATATCTCGGCTGTATAGGAGCATATTCTATTGCAGAAGACCTTCCTATGAAGATCATGGAATCAAATACGGGACATTGAACTAATACTTGGACTTTGATATGAATTTCTTTAACAATTTTCTCTGCAGTGCAAGTTATTAAACTAAAGCTACTCTATTTTCCAAATGTGTTCCAACAAAAATTCTTCATAACTTCTAGCATGGTATCTTAATAAAGAATAAAGTTCTTCTCTTTAAAAAATCTGCTCTAAGTAGATTTTTCCCCTCTTTTTTTTTTATATTAAGGATCTCAGCAGTGGTATTCTGAAATATTCTCTTGAATTTGTGCATTTAAATTTTATTGCAGTGATATAGATGAATGCCACTGTTGGTACCCTTAAATTTAATTTCTGCTCACCAAGGTTAATCATGATTGTCTATATCTTTTTTATAGTAATCACTTTTGAATTGTGTTCAGATGCAGTTTCAGGTGTAATCATCAGAGCTGGTTAGTCAGGCATTCCAGATAGTGGTTCTTTTCAGAACCTTTTTTAAAGGGTTGGTTAACTACCTCAGTAGCAGAGGATTGAACTATACCCTGTCTGTACTGTACATAGAAAATCTTTGTAGATAAAAGCAAGGCTTGTTAAAATATGATATGAGGGTAAGATTTTAATAAACCAAATGTAACATTCTTAGTTGCCTTTAGTTTCAGAGGCTTGTAAGACTTCCTCATGACCATCATAACAGGCCTTGCTTTTGTCGTATTTTGTGGCTGAAAAAGCAGCCTTGCTTCTTCAGATATTGTAGTTATTTGGATGTATAATAGTTTAGCAAGATGTTACTTTTGTAAGACATCAGATGTTCAAAAAGTGCATCCGAACTTGTACTAAATACTGCAGTGTCCCTTTATAAAAAGTCAGACTAAAACTGACAGTTGTACAGCAAAGCCTGACATTTGGATATTTTGAAGTTTTTTCATAAATCATAGAAATTAGTATATGGCTGTAGTTTAGCTTTTTAGGTAAAAGGTATGTTTCATTAGTGCATTTGTTACTGCTGATCACTATAAAAATGTGAATCAGCTTTCCATTTCTTATGCAGGTCATGATAACTTGTAGAGTAGAGTACAATCATTTGTGCTATGTTTTTAATTTTCTAAAGCACCTTGATGACAGTGAGTGTTCAGTGGTGAAGCATCCTCTATTGAATCACCCTCAAAAATTTTTTTGCCAAGTCCTAAGTTGATAGCTTAAAGTCAAGTAAAATTATAGTTTCAAGTAGGACTTGGTATAAAGAAATACCTTCTCCCCTTCCCCAAAGGGATACTGCAGTTATATCACATACCCAATAGGCACCACGATGAAGATCAGAGCTTATACCTAATTAAGGTTTTATACACACCAGTTCCCCAGTAAATGCAAATTTAACAAGAAAATTAGACATGTCATATGTTCAAAATGCTCATGGCAAACAATCATTTTGCATTCCTGCAAATAAAATTGTTTTATACTGTAAGCTGGAGGCGAGTGTAACTTATTTTTGTAATAAAGTTTTTATTTTTTTTATGTGTCATTAATATAAATGTGTGTTAGTATAGAAAATCTTCTGGTTTAAAAAACTTAGAGTTGCACACATTTCAGTATGTTCATTTGTACTTACATAATTTTAGAATAGTGGTTGCCAATAGCCTGTATGTTTCCCATTAATTGTTTTTTTTTTTCTTTCTTTTTTGTTACTTTAATAAACCATTTTAGTATGTTGTATGTCAGTTACTGGGATAGCTGGGGCATAGAGTGTAATTTAAAATTTGTCAATAAGTATTCATTGGAATATTTGTAAATGTGCCTTGCCGGTTGTTGAAACTTACCTACAAAATGAGTATGGGGTGACAAAAATTTGTTCCTGGTGCTTACTGAAACTTTCTTCCACTGATTTTTATATATTACCCTGTGCTTTTTAAAAGTACATCTCTGAAATCTTAGTGTAAGTTTGAGGGCTACACAAAACATGTACATTTCATTCTAACATAGTAAGTATACTAGGTCGTGGAAAGTGGGTAAATTAAATGTAGCCTTCAGCAAAATCGATTCTCAGTGTAATCCTTGGTGCTGGCACTTCCCAGGTCCAAGGAGTATAATGATCCCATCTAAGAGGTCATTGCCATGCCTATTGGCACTTAACTGTCATACCATTTTTAACGGACACTGTCAAGGTCTTTTAGTTAATTCCTAGATTATTTGTTGGGAAGCAAGAACAGGTTTGTTTGACTTAACTGCATTGTCAAAGTTGAAAGATGAACACTTTTGTGAGTTCACAAATGTGTTCTTTAAGAAAACATTGAAGTATGGAGCTCTGGGTTTCTAAGACTTGGCTTTTAAGTTGGGGGACATGGGAGGGAAAACTGTTTTAAAAGAAATTGCAGAATTGATTGATGGTTATACTTAAGGGTAATGTAAACAATGGTGATGAAATATAGACTCAAGTGAAAATACTTGACAGTGTTCATTTTAATGACTTTGAATTTAAGCCATTATAATTACTTTTAAAATTAAATATCATTTGCACTGTTCTGATAATGGGTGCAGTTTTTGAGCAATATAATCAGAGCTAAATATGCATGTAGTGATTAGTGATGTGAACAATTAAGTTCTGAGAAGAAATACTAACCGTGGTACTTTCAAACTTAAATTTCTGTAGTGAAATCAGTAACAAACTCTTATCAGAAATCAAGAAAAACAGGCAATGCATATAAACATAATTTTGAATGTTGTGTGGCCTATAAAGCAATAATGCAATTTATATGGAATGTCATGGGATATGAGAAATGGAAATGCAAAAATAACTAATCCTTTAGTAAAAATGTCAACATGTTAAAAGGGGGAATGTTAACTAATGTAGGTTATTGCATTTGTGATTTGTTTATGGGTTCTTGGCTTTGACAGCTTCAAAGAATGGACAGATGACAAGTTAAATTTTGTATATATTGTCAAGGAAAGGGTCTTTAATAGTTAAGTCCCTTCCTAGAGGTAAAACGTATATCCTTAAAAGAATTTTGATTGTTGAAAAGTTACCTAACCAAAACAGACGCAAGATTTTGTTTCTGCAGACTACTTGGCAATCAAAAGTGTTCATAAATTTAGTTTTATCAGTTTTCTAGGAAGTTACTTTGTGACAGAGTTGTGTTAATTATATTCTTCCCAAGCATGTCTTTTGTGCAAGAGTTTTAGTCAATGCAATTGAATCACATGTTAAAAATGGAGAATTGAATTGCACAAAAGGAATCAGATGCTCACGATGGCACTTAATAGCATCATGAGAAACTTACTGATTACTGCAGAACTTTTACTATTTGATGCAAATCTGATTAAACAAAAGTATAAACATTTTCTCATGATTAGGAATGATACAAATGGATTAATGGAGAGATCTGGGCTATAGAATTGTATATAAGATATTTGAAAAGATGTATTTAGTATTAGGATGAACATCATCTACATGGGAAAATTAACTTTAGTACAGCTTTTTTAAAATTACTTGGTCAGAAACAGCATCATGTTATGATGACTATTTCTTGGAGAAATTAAAATATAGAAGGGCTTCATGCATTAAAAAAGGTAGCTAATCCTAGAGTAAATGGTTGCTCAGGTTTCTAAAAACTCTATTAATACCCTCCAAGACTGTTTTCTCCCCACTTATACATAACATAAACAGGAATTCAGTGATGGGTATAAAGTTAATGAATAAATAACTTACTTAAACAATACATGGAACAGACTTCTTGGGGTGATTTTTATGGTGTAGTATTTACTTAGTCTTACCACTCAATAGGGCATGCCACTAAGATGCTAATTATGACCCAAGGCTCACACAGGCAGTTTTTAAAAACTGAGCCAATGTATAGATGGACTTTTGGAGTCTGTCACTTTTTAAAAGTTCTTAAAACATAAACCATATTAGCACCACAGTCTGCCTTCAACAGTGTACCTAAAATGCTTTTCAGGACCAGAAGAATTCAGTTGGGCAACCTTTTTTACAAATGCAAATCAGTATTACTCTGGGTCAAAGATTAAGTTTTTAATATTAACAGTAGTCTGGTAAACATTTAGAAGTCTGACATTGAGAAACAAAAGCTTGTACCTGAGTATTTTAATTAAAAAAATTAGATTTTAGCTTATTTAAATTCTTTTTACATTTATTTATCCATAGAATTTATATTTATTTCATTCCTTTCGTCTCACTGAAAGCTGTCTGCAGGCTTCTTGATTTGGATTAGATGTGTGAAGTACTGTCTTTCGCCAAAAACCTCAAATTACCTGTTTTTTTCCCCAACTTAGTGGGTTTGTGCTTGTTTGGAGATCAGTTCAAAAACTATCTGTACTATCTGTACTGCCTCTGATGTTAAGATTTTATGTATAGCATAAGGAAGCTAGCTCTGACTATATTTTCCTAAGAATAAAGACCTATTTTTGTAGCATGTCTTAGGATCTCCAGGAGTCCAAGAATTATTGTGAGTGTCCTCCATTTCATGATTTTTCACTCAACAGCTTTTTAATAGACACTTGGAATCTTTAGAGCTTTGTCGCCTTTTGATCATGCATACATTCAAAGTAACTAGGAAATGGTAAAAACAAATTCCCCGAATACCTCTGATTGCAAGCCACATGCCTGGAAGATGTATAGAATAAATGTTTTGGGATGGTCTTCATTTAATTTTAAGTTTTTGAAATGGTTACATACATGCCAATAGATTTATGAACTCCATGATAATTGTTTTGGGAACATGCTTCACCATGTAGTGTTCTTCTATTCTCCAGTTTTATTTCTGGCAAATAAAATTTCTTTGAAGATTGGAAAATGAGATTGAAGTACCAAATAATTCAGGAGAGGGAAGAAGAAAATGATCTCTTGATAAAATTTGCATTTAGATTACTGCAACTCAGTTTATGTGAATGAACTCTGCTCCATTGCATATTAAAGTCAGTGGCCACATTCAGGACTTGTAAGTATATTCAGGGTTTTCTGGTTCCTGGTTCCAGGCTACAGTTGGAGGTGGGGCTAGGAAGGAGGTGTAGGGGTGGTTTGAAATACTTCAGGAACCTTGCTATTTGATTTAAATAGCTTCTGATGTAGTTACCCAGGGTTGGTATTTATTGATGAGATTATTATTTCAAGACATATGAATGGGAAAGTCCTGGTAAATCACTTCATAAGCCATTTAGAGATTAGTGTCTTAAATGTCTAAAATGTATTTCTGATACAATAAATTTAGTTGTGATTAAAAACAGGGTCATTATAGAAGTTGCTTTTTAAAATGACTCAGTTTGTATTACCATTTAAACTTGATTTCTGATTTGAGAATTACAAAGGTTACATGTAATTTTCATGTGTTGTCATTCCTTTCTTAAACTATTCTGAAAGCATTGTGATGAAATTTCAGCTTGGAGGGAAGTTGTCAAGTTTTTGCTTTTTCATGGAAAGGGCTCAAAAGGATTTGGACAGACAGGCTATTACTGCAGATTGAGTAAAATAAGACTTGCTAACAGTAATAAGATGGTAGACTTCTATATGGCATCCCACAGAAGTTATTAATGGTGTTAACTTTAAAGTGAGTTGAAATTTGAGTAGTCATGGTATTTATAAAATTACAAAATACTATAATATTTGAAGGGCAGTTTGCTAAGCCTGGAGGCATATATACCATTATTTAAAACCTAAGGAGAGTATTTTTATTGGTTATATAAGAGTTATCTGTACACGGTGGTGCATTGTAAGTCCAGTTAGAAGCTGGAAGATGTAGGAACTCCAATTGTAATTGCTTTACATTATCTACTACGCCATGACAATTTGAAAAGTGTATTCGTTACTTTTTTTGGATGTCCCTCAGGGGACAATAACTAAGAGAAAGCAACTAAGCAATACCATAACATTTATATGTTAGTACATTACACTTTCAACTTCTGTTCTATAGTAAATGAATGAACATGTAGTGTAGTGTAGTTTTAAGAGTTCACTTTTTTCCTCTTGAAATGGTGAAAAGTCACATGTTAGAAAAAATTAAGGACAAATGCAACTCCTTTAGAGTTTGCCATGCCTCCTGGGTTAATGTTCATTTTAATAAAATTACACAAATTTTAGCAGATTTATTGGGTTTATGAAAATCCATTTCGCATTTAGGAGCGTCATGTAAAGGGCACAGGGAAGATACTATGATCAGGTTTGTATGGCTTGCTGCTTCCTGATCAGTTTGCTTAAGTTACATAGTTATGATTTTTTTTTTTTTTCCTTTTAGAATGGAAGCTCCTTGAGGGCAGGGCATCTTTGTATGGTGTTATGCAAGCCAGCTCAAAAACCAATCTTAAGCACTTTTCAGTTAGTAGATAATGATAAACAATATAGCTGGCTTGCTATATTGTTTAATTCATTTTAAATCCTTTGAAATGCTAACTTGAATCTGCCATTCAGGTTATGAAATTCCATGTTTAAATTGTCAATATGATTTTAAGAACTTCTAAATAGCATTGCTTTTAATTGTAGGACCAGATACAGTAAGATTTAGGTGCTTTATGTGTTCTATAAATTTCATACACTTGTGTGAAAGTCACTATTTACGTTTTCCTAATTGGAAATTGGAGGGAAAAAATGCTTAACTCATCCTTGTCAGTGGCCCTCTGAGAATTCAGCCTATCAATTTTCGCTTATGATAGTGTTCAGTTTAAGTGTATGGTGCTACAGAAAACCCTTTGTGTTCATTAATGAAGTAGTGGTACTGAGTTAAAGGCTTTTAGTCATGATATCTATAAAGTTCTTTATGCAGCTGTTTGAATGAGAGGGTAATTAAAGTTTTGAAATCACTGATTTTTAATAATATCTACACTACCACTACTTTTAATTTGGTAAACAATAACTACATCTACATGAATAACCTTTTATTTCTGCCAATTGTTAGGAGGTAAAAGATCATGAAAATAGGCTGTAGTTTTGTCTAAAAATGCTATTCTTGTTGGTAGTTGACAGTTTAGCTTGAATAATACTGTTTTGTTTTATACTGAAGATTGGATTCAGGACCTTACATGAAGCCTTCACTTTGCATCAACCCCTGCTGATAATAACTTAAAACTTATTGGAAGTCACTTAAAATAGCATAGGGTATGAAATATGAAAGTCTTCCCATGTTCCAGTGCACTCGCCACTCCTGTAGTTTTAGTAGTAACGTTTAATCTCTTTGTTTTTGTTTTAGGACAAGGTTTCTTTGTAGCTCTGGCTGCCCTGTAACTCACCTGTGGACCAGGCTGGCCTTAAAATCAGATCCACCTGCTTTCTCTCTCTCTCTCTCTCTCTCTCTCTCTCTCTCTCTCTCTCTCTCTCTCTCTCTCTCTCTCTTTCCAGGCTAGTCTCGAACTCACAGCTATCTGCCTGCCTCTCCCTCCCAAGTGCTAGACTGCTTCACTTTCATGTAGCCCTGGGTAGCTTTGAACTCACAGAGAGCCATCCGCCTCTGCCTCCCGAGTGCTAGGATTAAAGGTGTGCATCACCATTCCTGCTTCTTTTTTTTTTTTTTTTTAAGTTAATTAATAATAACTATTACTACGGCTAAGCACTATTTCATCGTTTTGAAGAATTTGGCTTATGTTACTATGCATTTATCATTATTGCTTGGGAAAACATGTGCCAGGTTTAGAAGCACTGTCAGCACCCAGGGTGAGACAGGATTGAATTGACACCATCCTGGAGCATATGGTGAGACAACAAACGAAACAATAGGTTAAGTAAACAGCATCAAATACATTGCCTTCATCTCCTAATTACTACTAGTTGTGTTACTTATTTTTTCTGTCAGAATTATTGACACTTATACATTAGCCTTGTCTGTAGATTGAAGATAGCAAAACAGTATAGTATGTAATGTACATTTTTACTATGCCAAAAATGGGCCTTTTGAAGGGAAAAGCTAAGACAATGAATTAGCTTACTGTATTATCATTTGTCTGGATAGATGCCATTATTGAAGAACTGTGGCTTGATCCCCCCTCCCCTCACCTCCCCTTGTGTTTTTAGTTACCTTTGTTAAGATAATCTTACTGGGTTCTTCTCATTACTTGCTTAATCATTGTGAGATTCTTTTTATTTTTTATACTGCTGAGTTCTATAGCTTGTGCTTCAGTTCATTTTGAATTTTTCAGGTAGTAACTTGAAAAGCTTCATGATGTTTAAACACTTATGGTGGAAGAAAGCTATTATACCCTTGCTCTTGTTTGATATTTGGGGATCATTTTTTTTTCTCAGAACTTCTGAGATTTTTTTTTTTTTTTTGGTTCCCAAGACATGGTTTCTCTTCCTGTAGTTTGGAGCCTGGACGCTCTAGACCAGACTGGCCTTGAACTCACAGAGATCTACCTGCGTCTGCCTTCCAAGTGCTTGGAATAAAGTAATGCACTACCACCCATGGGCTTAAGAGATATTTTGATGTTTAATTTTAAGTTGTTTTGTTCAGACTACCCAGCCTCTTTCAGGATTCATGTATAGGTCATAATTTAGTCCCCTTGTGCACCCTTTTTTTCTAAGTCTTGACTCCCTCAGTCCGGCTTTTTTTGCTTTCAGTGTCAAGCTTTGAGTTTGTTTCTGAGTGTGTTGACATACATTTATGCACCCCCCACACATCATTTTTCTTTGAGATAGGCTGGTCAAGAACTCAAAGCTCTGCCTGCCTGTCTCTCCCTCCTGATTGCTGGGAATAAATGTTAGTGCCAGGCTTACAGTTTTTTTTATTGGGGGGGGGTAAAGTTTTGTTTATTAAAATAGCATGATTCAGCTCCTAAGCATGAACGTTAAGACACAGGTGCTCTTAATGGGGGCAGTGGTGGCACACGTGCTGAGGGCTGAGACAGGTGGATCTGTGTGAGTTCAACGCCAGCCTGGACTACAAAGTTACACAGGTCCTCTGAAATAAGATAACCAAGATGTAGATTTCAAAGGGGAGCTGCTTGCTTTGTTCTTTATTTTTTGGTTAATTTTTATTTAATGACTCTTCAGTCTTGTGTTTAAGCCTTCTCCTAAGACACATTCACTTTTTATATTTCATTGAATACTTTTCATAATATATAGTGCATAATTTTACATTAAATTAAGTGCACCTTCTTGATCAGTCTTATGTTTTCAGAGTGGTCTCTCTAAATCAGACCACAATAGCTATTCATAGGTTCTCATTAAGACTTAGAACCTATGGTTGGGTTCCTTCTCTTGTGAGGTCACCACCTTGAACTTCTTACAGATGTGTTGTTGATATAGCCTACTCAGCTGTGTACTTCAGGAGTCAAGCATTGATTAATCCTAAGTGGATGAATTTTAACTTGATAACCTAAATTGGAAACTGTCCATATGGTTATTTTTAAGCTTTGAATTTTTTTGTTTGTTGGTTCCTTATTTGTATTTATGAGAATTGATGAAGTCTAGTATCTATCGACTCATAACTAATTGCCAAACTTTGAGAGAGAGAAAAAAAAGACTATTTCTAAGGTTTTATTTCAGATTAGGAGGAGAGGAATAACACAGTATTCACTTTGAGATTGGACATAGACCTTAAAAGTGGTTTTATAACTTGTCACCCCACTTTCCTCCCTTACCAATTTTGCTAGCTAAGCGGTCTTGCCTATTGCATTCCTTGGGAAAAACACTTGTATGTATAGTCTAGTGCAAAGTTTGTAGGAGCTTAAATTCTTAAGCTTTTGCAGGAGAAAATAATTAACTTTGTTAATTTTTTAAAAAAAGATTTATTTATGCAAAATTCTTCCTTCATACCAGAAGATACCAGATCTCATTATGGATGGTTGTGAGCCACCTTGTGGTTGCTGGGAATTGAACTCAGGACCTCTGGGAGAGCAGCCAGTGCTCTTAACCATTGAGCCATCTCTCAGTGTTAGTTAATGCATTTAAATAATTGTTAAGTTGAAGTTTTAAGTTGATTGTGTTTTTAACTTCTTGAGGACTTGGTATTTGAAAGGG